GCAACATAAGAGGCAGAGCAACCAGGAAGCAGAGGGGATGTTTTGTTTGGGGATGACGGAATCCCTACAGTGAGCAGGAAGCAAGATTTGGTTTTCATCTTTCCCCAGGGAAGGTAAGGGACCACTCTGGCCTATGGAGGGCACTTTGCGGAGCAAGAGGGCACAGCCAGGTCTGCCTGGGCTAGGCGGCTGCTGCTGCTGTTGCTCTGTTGTCACAGAGTGGTCTTGCTCTGAAGACCAAAATACCACTTTTTTAGCTTTCTTATTTACCCATTATGGCACAACCCCACCACAAGCGGGGAATGTGCAGAGAAGGAATGGGTGTGCCTGACGTGGGGTGGGCTTTCTGTGTTGCCAAGGGCACCCGAATCCCAGCACTCAAGTGTGGTCTTGTGTATGCTTGGCCTGCCGGCTGCAGCCTTCCTCTGCCCTCCCTACCAACCTCAGGTCCACTCATGGTCCTGTCTCTGGACCGCAGTCCTCTGAGCTCATTGGGCCAGCTGCAGAAGGGTTCGGTGCAGAGGGCGCCGCTGCAGCCCGTCACCTGCCCGAGTTATTTAAGTCTGCATTGTCAGTTAATGTATTCTAATAGGCAAGTGGGTGACCGAGCTGGCAGACGCAGGATTGACGCTGAAATGTAACAAGAGGAGAAGCACCCAAGGAAACTTCGAGGCTTGTTTGCGCCCCTGCACTCACCCCCGCGCTACCTCCCACAGGCACCTGGAGTCATGCCGATGTGATGTGCAGATTACATAAGGGGGGTGGTTGCTGGGGAAGCGTCCCCCCCCCATACCAGGGCGACAGGGCAGGGTGGGAGGGTCTATCTCCCACACCTCTGCCTTCCTGGGCCTGCCTGTAGGGGAGGCTCTGTGGGAGGTCGCAGTTGTGAATGGAATTTTCTAGTGTGCTTAAGAGGACAGAGGCAGGGTCAGGTAACACTCTGGGAAACCAAAAGACCAGGCTCACACCTCCACCCACCAGGCAAATGCCCTGCTTGGTCCCTTCTTTCCAGCCACACTGTATGTGTAAGCGGAGACAGGACACCAGAAACAGTCAGGTGTGCAGGGCTCATCTGCCTCCTAACAGCAGAACGCAGGACCCACATTGGGGCTAAAGGAGAGGCAAGCTTCGAACCATGTCAGGCGGAGAGTAAAGCCAAGGTACAGTCTGGGAGGAGGGAGAGAAGCAGCCACATCTGGGAGAGCAGGAGAGCCAAACTGCTCGCCAGACCTCCGCTCTAGCGAGGCAGGGATGGGCCCTGTGCAGGGCCAGCTCCCAGCACCCTCTGACCTGTAGCCCAGGGCCCTGCAAGGTCCTTTGCTCTACATTTCCTCATTCAGAGCAAAGACTCCATGGCCTCCTCTGTTTTCTTCTTCAGAGAGGTCCCAGGGAGGAAGCCCAGCGCCTCAGACATCCTAAGTTGGCCTGAGCCCACCCAGCTATTGTTGTTAGCTTGTTGCCTTGTGTGATACATTTACTCTGGTTCAGGAGCCAGGGCTGACACATTAACTAAAGTCCACAGTTCATTCAGAGTCCTCCAGGCTCTACCCAGTGTCCTCTTCCTGTCTGGGACCCAACAGGACTCCAGGACACCTCCAGTCTTCCTGTCTCCTCAGGCTCCCCTGGGTTGCGGACTCTCTGCCTTCAGTCACGATGGGAGGGGGGAAGCACCAAGGGGAGCACTGGTCAGCAGCCAGGGGTCTACTGTACTGTCCTTGCTGGGCTTGGGAGCAGAAACTGAGGAGAGCGCCCTGTTCAGGCCAGTGCCAGTCCTCCACATGGCTCTGTTCTCCCTGACTCCTCCCAACATTGCTCAGAACCCTAAGGTCTGCTTTGAAGGATGGGGGAGGCTAAGGACCTGGCCAGAGTCATGTAGTGTCTGCCCTGCCCCTGCAAGCTGACTGGTTTCTAGAAGGGACTCCTTAAACCCAGGCATTCTCCTCATACTGCACCCATTCCCCCACCCCCCAGCCTGACAAGGTCAGGTCTCAACCTATCCCCATCCACTGTGGCAGGCTATGCCTTTAAGACCGGATGAAACCCAAGCGACTGCTGGCAACAGAAACAGATTTCCTGCTGGGAGGAGTGAGACTCCCACCCCGAGCTCCCAGCACATTCTTGCTGATAAAAGTTCTAGCCACCAAGCTGGCCAGCCATTCAGATTGTCCAGAAACCAGAGCCCTACAGACAAGAATGCTTCTGCCCTCAGGCCTGGCCCAGGCACCTGCCAAGCAGAATGGAAGAAGTCAGTATGGGTGACCAGGGTGTCGAGGGGAAAAGGAAGGCTTTTCCGGAAGCCCCAGAAGCACAAGCTCCTCTGCCCCTCTGTCTCTCCTACTAGAACTTTCTGGTTACCTATTACAAAAGCTTTAGTCTGGGAATGAAAACAGAAGAGTTCTGATTGGGAGATCCCTCCCTCGGGGAGAAGAAGAGCTGCCAGGTGGGGGTGGGGCGGGGTGGGGGTGGAGAGCTCCCCCTTAAGAGGCACAGATCTCCCACCATCTTTGGAGACCTTAGACAAATGGCTACCCTCCTAAGCCAAGCTCAGCAAACTGGCTGAGGATGAAGGAGGTGAAGGAGGTGACAGCCAGCCGGGGGTCACTTCCCGAAGGGTGGCTTCTGCTGAGCGCAGACTCCCAATCCGTGCCTGCCTTGCCAGGAGAACAGCTTGCTTGAAATGCAAAGGCTGTCATCCTGTAATTAAATCTGAGACCCCCCCCCCCTTCCTACATGACGCCGGGATGAAGCCACTTATATAACGCAACTAAAAATAAGCTTGTGGAGACATACACACGGGTGCTCCCCACCCCCAGCCTGTCTCCGCGATGCCCACCCTGAACCGGTGACCCGCGGCACTGAGGATCAGAGGTTGGTCTGGCCTTGGACCCTGGGCTCAGCGTCACACATGCTGACTACAAACAAGGCTGGTGGAGCTCAGAGGAGTGGATGCATGGATTACATATGGCTAGGGGACCGCCAATCTCTACTCAGGGAGGGCTGACAGTCCCCAAAGAGGGAAAGCCAGCAGCATCTGGACGATGGTCTGGGCTCTCAGTGACTCTCCAGAGCTGCTCCCATCTACCTCAGACCTGGACCAGTGAGCCCCATTCCCACCTCAGCTACAAGAGCAGGAGCACCATGGAAGGTCTGAGAGGGTGTGCTGGCTGGCAGTCGCCACCCCGGGGGGTGCTTCTCACTATTCTTCCTGGGGAGACGCAGGAAGAGCCAATGATGATGGTTTCCTCCATCCCTGATGGACAGAAGTAGGTGCAAGCCCACACATGGGCCATAATTTCCTAGCTATCAGGTGGCTGAACCTTTAGGAAAGTAAGCAGGTTCCTCATCCACCGATGTAGTGGGAAAAGGTCTAAGATGAGGTTTGTAATGGGCTTTGGATGAAGAGGAGCCAGGGAAAGAGGGGTCTCCTAACTCCACTTGGAGCCAGTGTCTTGGTAGATCTGGATGCCCAGTTCTACCCACTCAGCAACTTGAACTTTGACCATTGGCGCCCCTACTACTTTCTGCCTGGCTCAGAAAGGCTTCAGGGAACACCGCTGAAGTCTAGACTCGGGCTAGGATCACCCACTAGAGAGCTGAAGGGAATATGTCCTTGTAGGCTGGGCATGAAGACAGGTCCCGACTGTCTCTCTCTTGTCCCGACCCGCTCCCAAAGTAGTCCTGACTGTGCCAGCCATGGGTCATAGTGCACTGAGCTGCAGGCAGGATGTAGGGTCATTTCCACCCAAGTGTCCTCACACCCCTCTTCCCGCTGTGGACTCCTGTTGAAGTTGTCCAGGCCTGAGGCTGCGGGAAGCCAGCTGGCTTGAGTCTGTCACCCATGCAAGTGTGGTCCTTGGACAGAAACAGGGTGACTGTGGGTAGGTAGCCCAGGAAAGTCTTGGGTTGTTGCAGAACGGGATGGGGGCAGACCATGGGAACGTTTCTGGGGGAGCCCCTTATTCTTCTCCCAGAGAGATCTCCTGTTTTTCCTGCCAACCTTCACCTCTCATTCTCCTCTATGGCCCCTGATCTTCTGGGGCAAGCGGGTGGGGGGGGGGGCGGGCTGCCTCTACCCCTGTGCACCAGCTCCCTGTTGGCGGTTAGAACAGGGAGGGACTAATGTGTGGCAGGATCGAGCAGGCACTATACCATGCTGGTCTAGATCAACAGATATAGGGAGGGAGGGAAGGGAGAGGCAACTGTGACCAACCAGTTGCACGAGTCAATGAAAAATTAAAGTTCAAAAATAAAATTTAAGTTGGCTTTCTGCCATTTGCAACCGAAAGGGTCCGAGAAAACAGATACACAGGGATCTAGATGAAAATGACCCAAACAATAGAGAAAAACAGGACACTAGGGTCAGTGGCTGAAAGAACAGGAAGCCAAATCTCTGTCCAGTGCTTTCTAAATCCCTCCCTGTGCTTCTTACACGTGTAGCAGAGTGAACGGGGCGGTCTGAGTCCCTGCGAACTGTCTGACAGCCGCGCCACGGAGTCCTCTGGGTTGCTGAAGGAGTGGAGTGACCAGCTGTCCAGGAAATGGATGCTGGAGTGTTATGTTTAATTAAAAGGAAACATTCAGCTCTGGTGTTTTACAATGTAAAGCAAATAATTGCTCTATGCTCGCTTAATTTATGTAAATATTTCTCCAAAGGAACTGTGCTGGAACCCCGTGTGCCAACCTGGTCAGTTTCCTCCGCCAAGCCTTCCTGATACCGCCAGCCGCTGGGCTGGGAGGCTCCTCCCCCGGAGCTTCCCACCCCACTCCCGCCCCCACCCCTCATTCCCTACCATACCACCCTCTAGGAGTCTCTCCACGCCCCACGCGCTCCTCTCCTGGGTCCTCTTCGCAGAATCCTAAACCTCCGTCCAGCGCCTACCCTCCAGCGCTCAGGATCCTCCCTCTAATTCAGCACCCTCCTCCGTCTCCACCCACTCCCGCCCCGGGAGTCCTCCCTTCCGGAAGATCGTCCGGGGTGACCGCACGCCTCGCCGACTCACCTGCAATAGCGCGGGAGCCACCGGCGCACTCCTGCGGGACCCTCACGGGTCTGCAGCCCCGATCGTTGCCTCCCTCCCGAGTGCCCCCC